TCTGTCTGACTGTCGTTTAATTACGAAGGGCAAAGATAGATGAGCAAAATTTATTCCCTCTCAGCGCTGAAAATTGATGGGGAGTGTAGATTAACTTCCTTGGGAAGAGTTTTCTCTCCCTGGTTTGGTTTTCCACATCCTTGCAGATATAATGTGTTAGAAATCTACCTGTGTATTTGTCTAATCAAACTAATGAATTAGAAGATTATGAGTTGCTTGATACTGTGTTTCTAGCACCTATCTGAGCACCTTGCACAAAACAGATGCTTACTGTCTGTTAAATAAATAAATGCACGTCTCCTCTTCACTCTGTCTACTGTTGACAACCTCAGATCCTTGTAGAGTTTACATCCGCGCATTGTTAATCTGTTTTGTGAACTTTTTTTCTGGAAAAGTAGAGCAAGAGAAGAGAAAGAAGTTCTGTCTTTTCACATCCAATTGCCTTTGAGGAGCTAGGAAGAGAGCAATTCACACTGGATTAGCTCACATCAGGTAAATTAGCAACACCTGAGTGTCCGGCAGTCTGGCCTTGGCGCTCTCCCCAGCCTGACCAGCCAGTTTGGTGCCGCCGCGGAGGCCATGCTTCCTTCCCTGCCAGTTTTGGCTCTGGGCTACCTGTTAACTCTGGCCCTGAGCCAGTCATTCCAATTGCGAGAATATGTCTTCCTCCAATTTCTGGGCTTAGACAAGGTGCCTTCGCCCCAGAAATTCCAACCTGTGCCTTATATCTTGAAGAAAATTTTCCAGGATCAAGAGGCAGCCGCAACTACCGGGGTTCCCCCAAACATGTGCTACGTAAAGGAGCTGGGCGTCCCTGGGAATGTGCTTCGACTTCTCCCAGACCAAGGTAAGGAAATTTTGAGTATTTTCCAGAGAAAAACCTGGAAGTGGGTGGTGTGAAGAAAGGAAAGGAGGAGAAATAATAATTACTGTCGGCTTGTGGAAGCCCTTGTGCTGGCATTTTGCATATTTTATCTCATTTAATCCCAATCCTGAGAGGAAGGCAGCTATTCCTATCAAGTTTTTAACGATAGGGAAATTCAGGCTCAGACGGTAGGTAACCTGTAATCTATTCAAGACCACACAGCTGGTGCGTGAACAAAGTCAGGATTCCTAAGTTTTTTCTGAACCAACTGCATCGTGCTTCAGCTCGGGTGAAAGGGGGAGGTGGCCGCAGTACTCGGTCTCCCACTCTTCAGGCCACAACAACATACCCCGGTGCCTTTGGCGTGGCAAGCAGGGGACGACAATTTTGAGCTCAGTTTTCCCAGCAGTCCTGCTTACCTTCTCCACACCTCTCCACTGCCTTTGTTGGGTGGAAAAGGTTGTTCTTGATTTGTAACTACAGAGCAATAATGCATGCCACTGTCGTGCCCTCCACATAAGGATCCATCCCATAGTTTCCGAAACCGACCACCCACTATGTTCATCAGGTCTTCCATTAATAGATTCTCCTGCCCGGTTCCGCCCCTCACTCTTCCACTCAATTCTTATTTAAAGTCTCAGGTGAGTTCTGCGGATCTGCATGTCTATACAGCCTCTTAGACATTTCAGATGCAGAATTGAGAGCCCAAACGCATTAGTTTTACAGCTACCAAAGAGAAAATTTGAATATTTATGTGCCCAAAAAGCTTTTATTGGATACCTACAGTGAGCCTGAAACTGTATAGCCTTGCGAATGTGGAGAACACAGAAAGGCTGCCCTTTTTAAAGAGTTTATATACGGGAGATAGAAAATAGACGACTTCCCTGTGTTCTGCTAAGTATTATGGTAGAGGCTCAGGGCCTTGAACGTGGGGCATTGGGGAAAATTCCTTGAGGGAAAGAGGTAGGAGGAGTGTGAACGGCTAGTTGAAGGATTTTCTGTGGAGAGAATGGAGAACAGCACAGAATACAGTTTGGAGAATATTCCTGCTCCCTCTTTGGAAAGAACTTTGATTTTGAGATGATCGTAATTCTATCGAATGACAGAGGAAAAGGACATAATCTCACCATGATCCTTCCCCAGTCCTGCTAAAGAAAACTACTACAGTAGTTGGTGCATATTCTTGCAGATTTTTCTTTTTTGCATATGTAGATTATTAACTTGGAATCTTTTTGTTTAAATGGAGTTATACTATACATTCTTCTAGTATCTTGAACATCTCTTACACGTCAGAAGAAATAGTCTACTCATCTTTATCTTAATGGTTGCATGATATTCCAGTGTACAGACATACTATAATTTATGTAATTGATGCCTCGTTCATGGGCATGGATGTATTGTTAATATAAATAGTGCTGCTTTACATACACTTTTGCGTG